AAGTTCTTTCACTTCAAATCGCAAAGCATCGTTATCTCTTTGCGCTTCCTCCAATTCCCTGGTCATTTCAGTCATCATACGTTCTTTATCATTATACACTTCATCAAGTCGCGTCAAAAGGCGGCGATTTTCCTGTTGATGTTGGATCTAAAAAAGACAATATATAGTGCGGAAAATATATAGGTGAACGCAAGGCCTAAACGAGCCCGTTTGTCTACTTTTCGGAGAAGAAACAATCAATAACTCAAAAAACAAAAGTAAAGAAAACGTAAACTAATTCATTCAAGGAAGATTTTATTTGAAACGTACAATCTCGCGATCCTTCTTGAGCAGATCGGATTTGTTGACATGCTTGCCACCTTTCTTATCGACGACCCGCTTAGCCATTTCCTCCTCCAGTTTCATGATTACGGCCCTTTTATGTGCCTTTTCTAGTTCTAGCTTCCTAAAAAAAAAAAAAAATAATTAGTACTGTACATTATCGCGGTCATAAAATATACCTTTTCAAATCTACGATCACCGCTTCGGCTTCCTCAATCACTGCAGTTTTTTCACTAAGATGGCTCATCGATCGAGTATGTTCCAGTTCTGATTCCCTTTCGTTTAAAATTGCTATCTGCATATCCTTCGCTTGAATTTCCTTTAAAAAATTGAACAAGTCTGAATTTGCAGAAAAAGTGAAGCTAAAAAACATGCTAGCATCAAAAACATAATCGACATTAGCAATTACCCAACCGTACTTGGCTTCATGAAAACTAACCGCTTAATTTAACCATGCCTTTATTAATTATTACCTTCTCATGACGAGCAACAAGCTGTTTGACTTCCTCCTTAAGCATAGTTTTCTCCTTGTCGAACTCGCTCACGTTGGTTTCAGCTATCTGTCTTGCCAAACGTTCATTTTCAGCTAGACTCTTGTAATGATCAGCAACTTTCCTGTAAAGAGTGGGTGTATTGTAACTATCCCGAAACAAATACGAGAAAAACATTTGGTCTCCTTCATAAATGAGAAAAGATGTAAATCCAGAAAAGTAGAACGGGTATGCTATTAAAATATATAAGACCACAAAGGCATATACAAATCTACAAAATGTTCCTTAATTGAACTCACTCTGCCTCAATCACGGAATTTCTTAGCAGTTTTTCACGGTCCTCAGCATGCTCGTATGACATTTTTATTTCATTTTGATAAAGATTCTAAAAGAAAACCAATTTATAAATGGAGATATCGCGTTACAGATCGTCTATGTTTGGAAACTCACAATGCACTGTTGATCTCTGTTCTGCTCATCTTGACTACTACTTAACCTGTACTCAAGACTGCAGTTTTCTTGTCTGAGTACTTCCAGCCGAGTCTCATAGTCATGGAGATCTCGTCTTAACTTGTTATTTTCCTGCAAAAGATGAAGTTAAGATAATTTAATCAGACACCTAACGCCCGTGAAAAAAAGTGCGTAAAGTGCACACCTCGATGAGATACCGCTCATTCGACGTTATTCCAGCCAGTTTCTTTGCAACATTTGTAAGCTCAGCCTGCGCACTGGCTTTCTTTTTGGATTCCTGACAAAGTTCACGACGAAGCTGTTCAGCCTAAATATAGCAACACTGATATCTTTGAACAAATAGTCAGCATATGTGAAAGCTACCTATATAACTGTTGAACACAGCAAGATTAATAGTAATATTGAAAAGACTTGTATTGGAGATGCAATATTTCTACTCACTGTACAATTTCTAAACGCTTAAATTACAAATAGCATACGCAAAGTTACCTCCTTGAGGGACTGCTCGAGCTTTTTTTCCATTTCCATTTCAGACTGCTTGGCCAGCGAAAGAGATTCCTAAGTGACAATTAGGCAATCGGAATACTACATGTAAGATTGATTCCACAATGTTTTACCATTTTATTTTCTGCCTACCACAATTTTCACGGTAGGGTACTAAGCGAAATAGAACAACGTTGCTGAGATATTTGCAAAACTCTGGTCCGCAGCTGTCTATGGTGAGGAGCGAACGTGCTATTCTCCTTTGCGGGGAGCAACACGTTCACCACCACACCATGCGGGTCCTTCGTTTAGTCTGTCTCTCAGCTAGTTATAAAATATCCATGCATTATTTGAGTCGTAGTGGTCGATATTTCGGAGGAATTTCGCTTTTTCGGAATTAAACTTGTTTCACTTAGATTCGTGAGCTGTTTACCACACTATGATGTAAAATTTTTTTTTTTACAACCCGTCTTCACGTCTAATGTGTAGATCCCGGCACTTCTCACATTCAGTTCGTTTCTTCGAACTCGTCATCCATGAAGCTCTTCCAGCTTCTACATCTACAACCACAACGTTGCTGACATATTTGTAAAACTCTGGTCCGCAGCTGTCTATGCTGAGGAGCAAACGTGCTATTCTCCTTTCTGGGAAGCAACGCGTTCACCACCATACTATGCGGGTCCTCTGTTTCTTGCCAAATATTTCAGCAACATTGTGGTTGTATTTCGTTTAGTACCCTGCCGTGAAAATTGTAGTAGGCTGAAAATAAGATGGTAAAACAATGTGATTTCAACTACAGCCTCAGCTTAACTGGGTTCAATGCCGATGTGGGCTCCCCAGATCAATCCCGTTGACGGGTGATTGCTGATGGCGCTGATCGAAAGAACTAGCTGAGAGACAAGTGAAACGAAGGACTTGCATGGTGTGGTGGTGAACGCGGTACTCCCAGAAAGGACAATAGCGCGTTCGTTCCCCACCATAGACACCTGTGGTCCAGAGTTTTGCAAATATGTCAGCAACGTTGTGATTGTTGATTCCTTTATGATAGTAGAATCATGATTGTTTTAAGACATAAAGACCTGGAAAATGCCATTCTCCTTCCTGTCTTCAAGTGCCTTCTTCAGTTTTCTACTAAGTTCATCCTCCTTGGACATTTGGTCAGCGATTTTCGATCGAAGTATCTCAATTTCACGTTTTTGATCCTATAACAAACTAAAGGTAAACTATCAGTTGCATCACACAAATATTGAGTTACATATATTCAAGAAACAAACTCCGATTGTCATAGTTTGCCTTCGATTCGCTTCCTTTTCTTCCGCTAACTTATTAAGAACATCTCTCACTTCAAGTTTAGCTGCATCACCATCTTCGCGAGCCTAAATAATATTTGCTGATATAGTGGTATGACTCCTTCCAAATTTTTCTCCACATTTATACTTTTCCAAATATTTTTTCAAATAACGAAAATTTCCTGACCCTCATTTAGGCATTGAGTTATGTGTTACGACATACTTAAAAATACATTAATTGGAAACAGTAATTCAGACCTTAGTAAGTTTCTCCTCTAAGCTGCGGACAACTTCGCGTTGTACCCTTAACTCTTGCTCCAGCCGCCGATCATTAACGGATTCCGTAAGTTGCCTTAAACGTTCTTGCATTTGTACCATATCGGCTTCATTCCGTCGTATGGTCTCCGTTGAGCTGAATTTTCATTAATTTGAAAAGCCGCACCATGACACAATGTGTAAACGAAAATTTTAGCAGCAGCATATACCGCGTCATATCCGCTTCCAATCTGCGAATTGTATCATCCTTTCTCTTGCTCTCTTCAGCATGCGACCGGAGTTTTTTTTCGGTTTCGAGTAGAGCTGACTGTGTTGTATTAAATTTACGAGTTAGATCCTGGAAAACGAAAACTTATCCCAGCCGCGATTCACAAATTTGCTAAGAAAAAACTCAGGAAACTGGACATAGGAAAAGCCTATATAGCGCGAACCTCAAATTCACTCTCAGAGACGCCATGTGTTCTAGACGAATCACCAGTAGCACCTATAGTCGAGGAAAGCAAATCCGCACCTTCATGTATTTTGAAAATGGGACTATAAGAAGAAGTTGGTTAAACCCATCAAAATATGTATTAACACATAACGCTCGAAGCTGATTTTTCCACAGGTGACAATCATTTCCTGATCATTAGAGTATTTCGAAAGCTCAAAACTTCACAGATTTGTAAAACAAACTTTGCTCCAATGAATAATGACTTTATCCTAACAATGTTGTTCTTGATAAATTTCCCATGAGGTTCTACGCAAGCCACTGGAAGGACAGAACCGGATACAGTACTTTTCCAAGGTATGTCTCGTATCTGCAATGCTCAACAGTCTGTAATCCGCATGACTCGAACCTGCGACCTCCTAAGAGGACTGTGACCTGAACGCAGTGCCTTGGACCACTCGGCCAGTATGACTCCAGCATGACTTTATGCTAGCAATGTGGTTTTTGGTAAATTTCCCATGACGTTTTACGTGAGCCACTGGAAGCAGAGAATAGAATACATTCCTTTCTAAGGAATGTCTCGTATCTGCAATGCTGAAAAGTCTGTCATTCGCAGGATTCGAATCTTCGCCCTCCGAAGAGGACTGCGACATGAACGCAATGCCTTGGACCACTCGGCCAGAATGCCTCCAGCATGACTTTATGCTAACAATGTGGATTTATAATATGTAATATGCATATGTAATTTTTAAACAGAACTCTTTAAATTCTGAGCGTGATTAGAACTAAACCTTCCAGAAAACTTATATCGAAATAAAGTCCCCTAAAAACTGCAACAAACGCATGACAGCTGCAAACATAAACGATACATTATGAACATTATTACGTTCTATTGATCGAAACCATTTTCATTTACTTTCCTGTTTGAAGTGCGAGTATCTAGGAAAGAGAGCCTTTAGGCACCAGAAAATAAAAATTTCATCTTGATGAGATAAAAGAACTTGTAACTTGCAGGCAAATAACTGCGGATTCGAGTGGTTCTTATTGTAGCGAATAAAATCTAACACGGGCTGAAATGTGGTCTTAAGGCTTAAAGCGGTTATTGGTTTCGTAATTGTGTTGTATACAATAAATTTCGAGCAATATGTGTTAATAGATAACATGGTTATAAAAATATTAAGTATAGTATCTTAGCTTAAGTGTAGTACGAAAGCTACCGTTTATGACCAAAACGTTAAGCTAAAATGTAAACAGCAAATATAACAGCATTAACCTGAACTCGTTTGAATAAGTGAAACCTATAAACGGCAACTGATTTCCAACAAAAGTTTTTGGTAGCTGGAATGACTCATTAGGCGGTTTTGCCTCAATATCCTAAATAGAATAAGTTAATGATTAGGTATAAATAAAATTAATATTTACTAACATTTTTAAGCGTTAAAGACCGTCTTTTATTACATACCTCAAAATGGGTTGTATCATCGTCGCCCTTCAATTCAGGAATAACCGGTGGATTTGCTAAAAATGTTTTTGCCTTAACTACATTAGGCTATAAACGATCAAATACAATCAATAACAAATAAAAGTCATCTCACACACATACCAGTACGCAAGGTTTCAAAAGTCCATTCATCATTTTTGAAAAATGGGTGTTCACGAATTTCATCGACCGACTTGCCCAAGCGAACGTCTGCTGATGACAGGAACTTCCGAATAAGATCCTAGAAATGAACACTGGCGAAAAATATTAAGTTTCCTTATTGGTTACGTGCATAGAAACCTTAGCGTGATCAGAAATCACTGGTTCGTCGGGAAAACGAAGACTATTCTTGTGATCCATAATATTCGAATATGTGGACACCAGCGCTTCTGCGAAGAATGGTGTTTCGCCAATCAGCATCTCGTAAATGAAAACACCAACTGCCCTTCAACAAAAGAAATCTATCAATGAGAGATCCTCGCTAAAGAATTTGAATAGAAACAACTCTAAAAATTAGAAAAAAAATATCAAAAACATTCGAACTGGAGTGCGCACTATGAAGGAGTACGGTGAACTAAGGAACAATTTTTTCTAATAACAGGCAAAGAATCAATCACACCATGAACATCGTAACCGAAATTCATTGCCAATTTCAAAAAAAAATCGAACAAAACCAACCAGAACAAACTAACGAACTGACTACTCACCACCAATCCACTTCAGTACCAAATTCCGCCTCTTTGCCCTGATTTTGTAGGATTTCAGGGGCAATGTAATCAGGTGTTCCAACAGCTAAAAATTACAGTTCACCTTAACCTGACGTACAAAAGGATGCAGACAACGTGGTGGTGAGAAGTATGCAATATGTACATGGTTATTGGTTTGACTACGCCACAAGTCAACCACGGGCCAATCCCTCTACATTCGGATATTGACTTCGAAAGGAAATGCTTTCTTAGATTAACATATATCAGCGATTTCTTGTTGGGCAACTCAAGCGTAGGTAATCCTAGGAAACCAATGGAAACCGCTTCGACGAGCACTGAATAAAATTCATAAAGATAAAACCCTGAATCAGAAACCGCAGCCACACTAACTGGAACATCTTCGTGAAGGACGAACCCAACACCACGAACTGGACGAAAAAAGGGCTGCGATCAGGATAGTTTGCGGAGCTTGGTCATACAGAAATAGGCAGAAATACAGGATTCCTCGTTGTACCATTTTAAAACGCACGAAACAATCCATGTAAATAATAGTGAAATAAAACAATCGACATCTCCAAACATGCAAGTTAAACACTACGCTCTAATTCCAATTATAGCACCAGTAATTATTCACCCACCTGTGGAGCATTTGATGACTCCATTTTTGTTCATTTTCACACATGTTCCAAAGTCAGCAAGTTTTATATGGCCACTTCGAGAAATCAGCATATTGTCTGGCTTGACATCTCTAAAGTGAATAAGAAATACTCCTACAACACAGAAAAAATTTCTAAAAATTGTCGACGCTGAATGAATTAAAGCTTTCTTCATCACATCACAACCTATGAATATATCCCATGGAATGTAAAGCCGTAAGCGCTTCCACAAGTTCCGCAGCGTAGAACCGCGTCCATTTTTCTGGCACATCATATCTAAATCTTTCATCTATGTTGGTTCTTAAGCTAAAAGATCAAAAAATTAAAAATAATGGTGAAAAATAAGCCAAAGCTGGAGTACAGACGTTGTCATTAGGTTGACCAAATCACCACCAGGCATGTATTCCATAACCATGTACAAATACCGTTGATCCTAAAATGATATCTACAACTGATTGACTTAAAAAAGAAAACAATGAAGAAAATTGCAAGCACATCCAAAATTGAAGATGGACTACTTATAAACGCTCACTTGAAAGGCATAGTGCAGTTTCACTATCCAATCAGAATTCGCGTGGGCCATGATATCACGTTCTTCCCAAAAGAAAGCCGAATCAGAGCGCTTGATCTAAACAAAAAAATTATTTAAACACATACCTCTGTTCTCGAATTCAGATGGACTGCATAACTGCGAGAACCAAACCTACCATATCGTCTTTGTTCAAAAGCTTCATGGCGTAGACACAATTCGTATGGATGTGTCTCACTAGCTGTACTTCTCCAAACGCTCCGCGACCTATCACTTTCAATAATCGAAAATCTGACCCCTTAAGTCTGTGTTGTGACACCTGTTCGATAATTTGCTGATCTGCAAAGACATAGCAAATAATGTGTCAAACATACTGGAGCTTAAATAACCTCAACACATCCGTGATGACGCCTACTATTCATCAACACCTACGTATCTTTTAGTAAGTAAATTATTTTCAAGAGTTTTTTTTCAAGAGTTCAAGACCTGAAGAACTATGGCCGAGATTCTGTTCTACAAAAACAATAGTTGTATATATAATTTTCCCAAGACGTCATTTTAACCCCAACCTTTTTGTGACGTCTAAATATTTGCAAAGTTCCAAACACATTAGTTCACACCGCCCAACCCGCTAATTCCCTCCTCACATACGATTTGAAGCCAGCTCACGCCGTCACGAATGTGTTAATACAATGAACATCTAATCTTAAACTTACACCTAGTAATAAAGCTATCAATGCTTTTGATTCGCATCAAAGATGGAATCTTGCAATCAATAAGTAGAGCAGTGATGGCATCCTGAAAATCCCGTTGATAATAAACCGAGAGATTCGAAATGGACTTTCATTTAGCTTCCGCAGAAACGGCGTACCTTGCTTACAAATAAGATCATAATCACGATGATGGCAACAAGACTCTAAGGAGTCAATTAGTTTGTTTTAAGCTTATGAATATACCAAATTTACGTTGGAAGAATTGGACAAACGTGCTCACGTACCAGCAGGCTTTCGATGTTCAACGGAGATCGTGGGTCAAGCAAATGCCCGACCAAACCCGACTCCACCATGCCCTAAAAGAACAAAACAGAATTCGAAAAAGGAAATCTTGATACCATAACATGTTAATATCGAGATATATATATAATATACATATGTGTACGTGTATCCTCCCAACGGTTTACCGCTTCATCGTAGCCGGGAGGTGTTCCTGGGTGTCGGACTGCGATGTACAACGGAGGGATTCGTCCCCGAGCAGGGTCTCCCAAGCTGAGAAGGAGTTCGGCGTTTCCACCAGGAAGCCTAGCTAATAGTGAACCAATACCAGGATCCATCAACGTTTTGGTACGAAAGTCGCGCGGTGGTAAATTTCCCTATGATCCACAAGAGATGCGACTGCCTGTTGTGTTGACGACTTGAGGCAGACTTTGGCCACGCTGTCCTCGGGATTCCACGGAACCACAATGGCTTAACCAGCAAATCCCCGAAAAAACGGTGATTAAGCTGTGATCCGCACAACAAGTGATGACGGGCCGTCGAAGTATCAAGTATCAAGTATCAAGTATGTACGTGTACATACGTGCTAGTTTAATTGATGATTTTACAAATTACTTCAACAATAGCTTCGAGAATAGGTACTCGACCGTTATAAAGACAGGAAATACAAGAAAATTACAATTTTTATTCTCTGGACAAATATGAAGATAGGACATCCATAAACGTATTAAGTATAGTATTACTCGTTCCGATTTGCCGTTAAGTTTCGTAAAATTGTCGACTGGTGCTCTGGGAATGGGTCGTCGCTACTCAGTAAACCTGCTGAATAGTAAGTGAATTGGCTATTCGATCGATCGCTATGATAGCGCTTCTGAAGTTTTCTGCGCATCTGATGAACTTTGACGGCTGCTCGAATATCTCGCACTGTGAAAAGCATCTCACCTAAACTATTCGCAATAAAAACATTCAGAGGAATGTCAATGTTTCCAAAAACACTTTAAATTCGTGAAAATTTAAAAGTTTTTGTAAAATGTTCTGAAAACTTCAATGATGCTGAGATATTTGCAAAACTCCGGACCGCAGGTATATGCGGTGGGGAACGAACGCGCTATTGTCCTTTCCGCGAAGTAGCACGTTCACCACCACACCACGCGGATCCCTCGTTTCGTCTGTCTCTCAGCTAGTTCTATCGATCTTTTGCCATCAGTAATCACCCGTTAGCGGGATTGATCTGGGGGACCCAAATCGGCAACGAACCCAGTTAAGCTGAGGCCGCAGTTATAATTACAATTTTAACTTATTATTTACTGCCTACTCTTTTTAACGGCAGGGTAGACAATGTGAAATATATCTCAGCATCACTGAAGTTATATTCCACAATGTATACCCTGCAGTTAAAAAGAAGAGGCAGTAAATAATAAGTTAAAATTGTTCTGAAAACCTTACGAAATCCGCAACCTCCGAACGGTTTAACAGCTCGTCGTGGCTGGGAAGTGTTCCTGGGTGTCGGGCTGCAATTTATAGTGGGAGGATTCGTCCTCCTCCCGGCACGACCTTCCAAGCCGAAAATGACTCCGGCACTTCAATAAAGAAGCCCAGCTAAGAGTATACCAACAACAGGGTACACCACCGTCCTGGTATTAAAGTCACATGATGGCAAATTTCCCTCTGATCCTCAAGGGCTGCGATTGCCTGTGGTGGTGAAGATCTGGTGCACACTTTGGCCAGGCCGACCACGAGACTTCCGGAAACCACAGTGGCTAGATCAGCAAAATTCCGAAAAAAAATGGAAATTATGCTGGAGCTCGCACTACCAGCAAAATGGGCCATCCAAGCATCTAAGTGAATAGTAAACCACCTGACACGACAATGAAACTGAGATCGTAAAAACTCATTTTTTGTGGTCACACAACATCACTCATATACTTAAGAACTCCAAAATCCATAGCTCCTTTTTTATTCGAAGTTTTGCGCTGTGTTAATCAAGATTCATGCATTAACCATGACACTTTAGCTTCTCATAAACCTCGCAAATAGTCTAAAAATACTTCACCATCATCATCTGAATCACTTTCTTCAAGCAGAATCTCTTGAAGCCATTCTCGCTCCCTGGCGTTTTGAAAATTGAACAGTTTGGAAAGCTGAAATAGAGTGAAAAAAGTAACTGCATAGAATATAAAACTATCTAACACGTTGTTTAAACGAACAGTTTACCTTATGTTTTCTAATTTCTTCAGTGGGATAAATACCTTTTGCCGAGAAAATACTTGGTCTTCGTGTATGATTTAATCCTCGTCCTTGATGGACTAATGTAGAACCAGGAATCCTGAAACATTAAAATCAGTGGGAACAGTTATTGACGAAAGGAAAAGCTTTCCGCAAAAATAACCCTCAAAATTTCAACTAAACCATTTTGTGGTTATGTCTAGCTCTCAAAGATGCTTGAGAAGGGAACTACAGAATTTTGCCCTTTTCTATGTGCAACTCAAATTCCCATACTACATAGTTACGGCTCAGAACGGTTCTTGCATTTCTAGGAAACAAACCTCGCATCTATCAGTCGATCAAAGAAAAATGATATAAATAGTATGTTGCTAATAAACCCACTAAGCGTCCGCTGGACATATAAAAATATTTACAAGCATCAATGAAATCAGAATCAATTCAGTACCCTTTAAATATAGGAGTTGAAAGTGATAACAGAAAAATATACATTTTTAACACCTTCACGAAATGGCAACTTCTACTGCCGCTATCCTCTTTATAAGTAAAGCACTTGCGATGCTAAGAATTTGCCAAACATTTGGACGTTTTGCCCTACAAAATTAGTCGCATGTAGAGTTCCTCTAAAACAACTTTTTGCTTTTAAGCGCTTTAACTACAGGAATCCGAACAAAAAAAGTTGAAAAAAAGTTTAGAATTCCGAAACTGTTGCCAGAAAGGGTGCAAACGACAACGACGCAATCAAGAACACACGTCGTGCTTGACGAAATTCTGCGCTTAGTCGTTTTGCTACTTAAAATACAAGTCTCGAGAAGAAGGAACAATATGCAAGCTCTGGAATATCAGGGCCGCTTCACTACAGAGTGGAAACCTTGCACTCTTAGTTTCAATTAATAAGAGCCACCATAAGTAGAAATCTGGCCAAGGATGGAAAGCTTTACACCATTAAAGCACCACTGGACTGAGATCAACGCCAAAAGCGAAGGTTTTGAACAGTTATCTAGCAAAGTAATAGCAAAGAAATCTGCGATATTTTTACGATTAACAAGATAACCACAATTATGTTGAGATATAACATCGAATCATTCGAACAACTTACAACTCGAATCGGACGTTTACGATTAAAAAGACGTGGATCAATTCCGGCTTTGACAATATTCGTCGTTCACGCGCCCACATCAAACTATGACGAAAAAGAAGTCGAAGCGTTCTACATGGACTTGGAGAAGTTCTACAGAGAAAACCACATTCTTCAAGGTCATCATTGGAGATTTCAACGCCAAGATTGGACCAAGAAGAATGTCTGAAGAACGTCACATTGGGACCCACGGATTAGAATGGAACGAACGGGGTGAGCGGCTATCTGAACGGTGAGCTTATCATGGCGACCAAGACAATCCATGGTAACTCGAAATTCCAGAAGCCCCACCCTCAGCGCTGGACGTGGAAATCTCCCAATGGAGAGTACCATAACGAAATAGACCACGTCATAGTAAACAGGTTTTGCCAAACAGATGTCGCTGTTGTCCCAAAATTCTATACGGGATCAGACCACCGCCTCTTTCGTGCGAGATACCATTTCTCGCGGAAAGAAGAAAAAGCTGCTAAATTCCAAAACCAAGGTCCGAGAACCACTGTAAACTGGGACTTATTCAATTCACTATTCGGCTGTTGAGAAGATGCCGTTGTCGATAACATCGACGAAGAATACGATCGGCTCATTCAACATCTTCACGGTAGCGCTATGAAAGTCGAGAGTTCGAAAGTCACCAAGAGACGTCTGTCCCCAGAAACACTCGAGCTGATACTCCAGCGTGGAATCGTGCGAGCTGCAGGCAACCGCGAACTAACGTCCGAACTTGCAAAGCAATGCAGAGAGGCGATAAAAGAAGATCTTAGAGAGAAAAGAGCAGCAGTAATGGCCGAAGCTGCAGAGGCTGGAAAAAGCATTCGCAAAGCCCATCGAAGCTTCGCTAATTACAGGACCAAAATGATTGCTCTCCGGCGCCTAAACGGAACAGTTACAGTGTCCAGAAAGGCATTGGAGAAAACCATTCACGAATACTACTCGGATCTCTTCGATAGCCACGTCTACCTTCCGTCATATGAAATAAAGGAGGATGGATATGTTGTACCACCGGTTCTCCCGAAATCCGACATGCCATTTCGTTGGTGAAAAATCGAAGAAAACCAGGTCCGCACAGGATTGCATTCAGACAGGTAACGTGTGAAGAGCCGAGCCAGTGTGTTTACGACGACTGGCGGAAGGTTCTTCAGGTGTTCAAATCTTATCCTGTCCGGATCTGGTGTTGTTTGCTTCCTCACCAACGGAAGAGCATTTCGGATTTCAGAAAGAAAAATCGATGGGACGAAATATCCATCCTGATTCATATGACGTGACAATTGAAGATATCCGAGTAGTCATCGTGAATGGTTTTCTCCATTGCCTATCTGGAAGCTGTAGCTGTTTCTTCTGGGCATCGGAGTGCAGTCGTCGTGGTTTCGTAATTGGGGAAGCTTCGGTAGGCTTTGCAAACCCTTTTACCAGCCTCTGTAGCTTCAACCACAGCTGAGGTTCTTCTCTCTTTAAAACCTTCCTTGATCGCCTGTCTGCATTGTTTTGCATGTTCAGACGGGAGTTCGCGGTTGCTTGCAGCTCGTGTGATTCCTCGCTGGCGTATTAGCTCGAGTGTTTTTGGAGATAGACGTTTCTAGGTGACTTTACAAGAACGCCGACGCCGCCAACTCCACTGTTGCATGCTCCAAAAAACAGTTCTTCTCCGATGTCATCGATGGCGTGTGGCGTCTTCTTGCCTTGGCAAGTCCGATGACGTCGTACCTTGTCCTCCTT